TCATATTCCTTGTAACAATTATGTTTATGATTGGGCCCTTAATTAAAAATCACAAACATTTCAAATTTATTTATTTTTAAATACAACATCTAAGTAAAAATAAAATTAACAATCCATGTTTAAAATATTCAAAACATTAAGATGGACAATTAATTACACCAACTTCTAACCCCAATGGAATTTAGAAGTTCATAGTTTGAAGCTTAAACAAATAAATATTTATTACAATAGTAAAAATCTTACAAAATGGAAGATGTGTTCTTGAGCTCCAAATATGATAAATGATGATGAAGATGAAGTAATTTTTATGTGTTTGGATGAAGAAAATGGTGAGATATTAGTGATGGAGGAGGAGAATTTCGGATGGGAGAGAGGAGAAAAATGGGGGGTTCCAACCTCTTTGAACAAGAGAAGGGTTGGGTTTTTGTAGATGAATTCGTATATACGGAGTATATACAAACAGTCCCACTTTAGTCAACACAAGCACAGGAGCGCACATGGAATTCGGGATGATTGTTGTGCCGCGTGATCCCGTGTTTGATTCCCGTGTTTTTGTTTAATTCCTTCATTCCTTCAAATTTCTTCCATTTATTTTGGTCCCAAACATCAATGTTTATTTTCCGTCCTTGCAATTATCTTCAATGCATCCAAATGACCTCAAAATGTCTGCAAAACATATAAAACCAAGCATAGGACTGCTCTACCATCCTTAATTACCTTTTTTTTTCTTTTTTTTTATTTTCTTTTTTTTTAACCTTTTTTTTATTCTTTTTTTTTTATTCTTTTTTTTTGAAGGCACACTAAGTTATTATTATCTTTACAAAAACAAAGAATGTACAACTTTGATACAACAAAAAAAAATGACATACTCAATTATTTACAAAAATACACAGTGCTCCAATTATTAACTTTTTTTTAAGTTCCTTCTCAAATAATAAGACAATCTACTCTAGGGTGGAAGGATAATTTATTTTGGCAAAATGGTTTAGGGTTAAATATTTACAAGGTAACAAAAAAATGACAAATAAGAGATAACTGTTAACACTTATTTACAGATAAGGCTCAAAAGGGGACAACTAGGGATTTTTTTTTTTTTTGAATTGGGTAGGCTTGGTTTGAGAGGTTAAACAAAGATGGCCTATATCATGTCTAAAGGTGTCAAATTAAAACATCATTTCATGGAGAACAAATGTGAAACATCATGGTCTATAAAAGTTATAACTAAGTTTCGCTAGTAAACCAATAAATTGGAAAAACTCTATGGTATTCTATGTTAAATTATTAACAGAAATTAACTCAAGGCTCAGACATAGTTACTCTCAAGATGTTATAATGAAACAATTCTCAAACTCATACCACATTCCGTCAAAAGAGATGATTTTGTAATTTACAAGGTTATGTATATAAATATTCACAAGACATATAAACAAAGAATTTGTAAATTCAATTTTACTTTTTGGATCAAGACTGTTCATCATTCAACTCAAACACACAAAAACAAAAAAAATGAAAATTAATTTTTTTTCTTTTTTTATTTTTGAAAATACACACAAAAAATCAAGTTTTATCTACCCACTCCCCCACACTTAAAATTTACACTGTCCTCAGTGTAAAATAAATGAAGGAGAATTAAGTAAACAATTCCTGAAAAATTTGGTAAATTGATTTTTTTTGTACATGGCGTGAATTGGAAAACGCCTTATTGAGATTCAATTACCTTATTAAAACAAAAAAAAATGCAGAATTTGAAACCTTGGGTTGCCTCCCAAGAAGCGCTTATTTATGGTCATTAGCTTGACCAATGCAATGACTTATATTAAGGCATTTCGAGGAAATAGAGTAGCATTCCCTCTTGGTGATCGTTGGCAAGATAACGCTTCAAACGTTGCCCATTTACAATGAATTTGGCGTTATCTTTGCCACAAAGTTGCACAGCTCCGGAGGGAATTGCTTCCACTACCTCGAATGGTCCGGACCACCGGGTCCTCAGCTTACTAGGGAATAATTTAAAGCGAGAGTTATAAAGAAGTACCTGATCTCCTGGTGCAAAATCTCGTTTAGAGATTACCTTGTCATGCAGTTGTTTGGTTCGCTCCTTGTAGATTTTAGAATTTTCATAAGCTGCGAGTCTGAACTCCTCAAGCTCATTCAACTGCAATATTCTCTTTTCACCCGCCATTTGTGGACGTGGCAATTGCTTCAACCCATTTTGATACATAATCCACAGCCACGAGGATGAATTCCTTTCCATTTGACTTCGGAAATGGACCCATGAAATCAAGTCCCCATACATCAAATACTTCAACTTCAAGAATGCCCCTTTGAGGCATTTCATTTCTCCTCCCGATATTTCCAGTGCCTTGACAACGGTCGCAGCTTTTAACAAAGGTGTTGGCATCCTTGAAAAGAGTAGGCCAAAAGAAACCAGATTGTAACACCTTTGCTGCTGTGCGGGAGCTACCATGGTGTCCTCCGTAGGCGGAAGAATGACAATGATGTAAGACATTTGTAACTTCATTCTCAGGCAAACATCTTCGTATGACTCCATCAGCACAAATTTTGTAGAGGAATGGTTCCTCCCAGATGTAAGTTCGAGAGTCATATTGCAACTTCTTCTTTTCTGCATGAGTTGCTCCGGTTGGAATTATTCCATTTGAAAGATAATTTGCTATGTCAGCAAACCATGGATCAATGCTTTTAGCCAGCATAAGTTGTTCTCCGATGAAGTAATCATTGATCGGCATAGTTTTTGCTTCGGGAATTTCCAACCTTGATAGGTGGTCAGCAACCACATTTTCTGACCCCTTTCGGTCTTTGATCTCCATATCAAATTCTTGTAGTAAAAGAATCCATCTTAGGAGCCTTGGTTTGGAGTCTTTCTTTGCCATGAGGTATTTGATAGCAGCATGATCAGTGTACACAATAATTTTGCTTCCGATGAGATATGATCGGAACTTCTCAATGGCAAAGACTACCGCAAGAAACTCTTTTTC